AAATGATCGTCTGTACCTCTTCCTCATACACAACCATTGCTAGGCCTCCAAAATAAGCTGCATCAGCTTTCTCTTCTACCACTTCGCTATTCTTCCTCTCCTCCCCAAATTCACTGTCACTGAGATCGTAGAACAACTCTTCGCCTCCTTCGTCAAGCAAACCCGCCATCTCCAAATCCTCCTCCTTCCTTTCCTCAAAATACACAAATTTCCCTTCCCCATCGACCACTTTGTGTGATTCCTCTTCCTCTTCTTCTTCTATCTCCCCTCCTTTAGGGTTTATATTGCAACCCGTTTTTACACTCAAAGTCTCCCCACGGGTCGGGAAACTCCCAACAGGCCTCCATCCATATTTTTTAGTCGGGCTTCTCCCTTTAGGCCTAAACATTCCGGTGTTGGGTTTGTCTTTGTCATTCTCTAATTTTTCAGATTCCATGATCTATTTTCCTTTCTCTTCTGGGGTGTATCTTCGCTGCCCACTGGGCCCTTGAAGGTTGGCTCAGGTTGGGCCTAACTTTTTCACTCCCCTCGAGCTCCGTCCTCCAGTGCAGTTTCCTTGTATTCCCAGTCAAACTTTATGCCTGATTCGACTGCATCCCTCACGAATCTGGTCTGTGCTACCCAATTCACGGATCTCCCTCTGGAATTCAGCGCCGCTGCATAAGATCAACCCCCACCAACCTCCACCGAAGCTGAATGTCTTTTTTGCAATGGGGACATTTAAAAGAAGCGTTCCACGGTTTGACCTGTCTTTGTTCCATTTGTCTATCCCCTTTCTCTTTCTCCTCCGTCTTCTCTTTGCTCTTAGGGTTAATAACCTTACATTCTGCCAATTCAAAAGCCACCACCATGAATAGCCACCATCCTCTGCCTTGAAAACCATCTGGAATGAATATCCTCGCATTTTTTCCCCACAGTTATGAAAAGACCAAATACCCCTCCTATTACTGTAAAAAAAAATCCACAGCTCCCGGTGTCTCCCTAAGTAGTGTTTAGCCCACAGGCCTTCCCCCTTCTTCCAGTAAAAGTTTTCCGAGGCATTAAGGAACCACACTACCTATTGTTTTTGAAGCAATATCGATATTTGGAAACCCTGTCTATTCTCATAAATCTATATCCTGTCGAGCCTTTTCCCCTCGCTCACTAGGTCGAACATTTTGTTATCAATTGAGAGAAACTTTCTGCCACTCTGGGGCGTCATGGCGGCCCAATAGCCGGCTGGCAGCCGACAGAAGCAGAAACTCACTCACTCTCTCTCTATCTCTCACTTTTTTCCTCTAAAATATTCCTGTTAGTTTGTCATCCTTACTCTTGCTTTGATTTCAAGAAGCAGGGTAAAGACGATTCTTAAAATTCCTAATGACCTAAATGAGCTTAAAAAACTAGCTTGATTCTTATAATCCCTGCTTTTGGATCTTGTTATGGGTTTGGAAATCGAGAAATTAGGAAGGAGATTATAGAATATGATTCCTTTCTGCCTCATGTTTACTAAAATGATTTGAGCTTGTTAAGCAAGAACCTAAGGATCTCTTTGAGTTAGAACAGTAGTAAAAAGCTTTCTGAAATTATTCTCTGCTGACCATTTTATGCTTCCATTAATATGAGGTTACGTAACAGTAAGTTACAGGACCATAAAGTAGAAACAATTGCCAACCCAAATCCAAGTAGAAAGATTAAGAAGAAAGAAAAATAATCAAACGTTTAAGTTTAAAAATAAAACTGAAAATAAATTAATTAGAAAACTAAACAGATAATTGAATCTTCCGCTTGTGGATCTATCCTTATAACTGTTAAATTACTATTGAAAGTACTTGCTACTATTTTATTTCATTAAAGCTCATCATGTCACTCTCTGTCTCAAAAATACACTTGGCAAATAAAACCTCCAAAATCATCTGCAGGATAGACATGTTATCCAAATCTAGAGTTTTCTGTGAGCAGCTGATTGAATGACAGTTGTAACGAACCTTTGGGTGTTGAGATTTCCCAAATATATCAGATGTCAGGGTACTAGGAAGGCTGCAACCTCTCACAATAGTTTCTTTTTCCTTCTGCAGGGCTAGAATAATTTCTGCAACCAACCTGCCTTTTAGTGCTGCAATAATTTTCATGTTTCCTTTGAACTCTTGCAGAATTTCATAATTGGTACTGGTACCAAAGTTTTTAGTAAATGCAGCTGATAATTATTGGAGATTGAAGTGTCGATCAATATCCACCAACATTGTTGGAATGTGCATCCCAGTGTGATAAGTGATTGTTGGATATTGGCTACCACAAGACTTGCACCAGCCTGATGATTTCACTATCTAGTTTCTAGTTGCCAGTCCCATCTTCCCCTGTTAACATTGCTTTCTCTTGTTGTGTTTGAAAAATTATGGAAAATTCTTTCAACTTTGTTATTAGTTCTCGTTGCTTTCCGCAGTCTTGCTCCCACTCAAGATATTACTGTGCCTGGTCCTCCTGATACCATTTGATAAATGTCTCAAGTTATTGCTGACAGATCTTAGATCAGCCATAAAAGCAGGCTGTGGTTCCATATTTTAGATTTTTGTTTTGATTTAGAAATTGAGAAGCTAGAAAGAGGATTTGTAGAATATGATTGCAGCAACTTCCTTCTTTTTCTGCCATATGTTGACTAGAATGACTTATGCTTGTTAAGAATCCAATGATCTCCTCGAGATAGAGAAGTACTCGAGAACTTAGTAAAATTATTTCTGCCCCTAATACTTATATGGGCTACATAACAGTGGGTTATGTAAGGTAGAAATAGCTGCCTAGACAAACCCGATAACTTCTTCTAGAAAATTATAAAGAAAGTGACATAATTGAACAGTTTAATGTAAAACAAAACTTGGACGTAAATGATAAAAAAAAAATTAAACAGATATCGTCTATCGGTTGATTTGTCCTTGTACTGTCAAATACTATGAAAGTACTACATGCTGTTTATTTGAT